TGAAAGTAGAGTGTGGGGGAAGAGAATAATAGCACTCTGATGGTATATGTTTAGAAAATCCCTGCAACACTCCACAGAAAGTTAGTAGCCAGGATTATCTGTGGGGATAGCTCGAGGGGCCAGAGCCTGGAATCAAGAGTTATTTTTCACTGTGCCCTTCTCTACTCTTTAATTTTTTTACCATAATTATGTATTGTTCTTATACTTTAAAAACAGTAATATAGCCAGGTGTATTGGACAAGGCCTGTCATCCCAGCTACTTGGGAGGCTGAGGCAGGAGATTGTAAATTTGAGGCCAGCTTAGGCAATTTAGTGAAATTCTGTCTCAAAATAAAAAAGAGCTGGGGATATAGCTCATTTGTAGAGTACCCTTGAGTTTAAATCCTAGTACCAATAAAAAATTTATATATTAGTAATGTAGAAAAAAACAGTGTCTGATAAATCAAATCTCAGTAAGTCCTGCTTTAGTTATCTGCAAAGATCTGTGAAAAGGTTTGTACTATTCCATATTAGGCGCAGACATTTATGGAATCCAAACAAAGCTGAGAAAATATCTACTTCCATTTGGAGGGAAACTGAGAAAAGACTGAGCAAATTTAATAGCTGTCCTGAGTCCGGTTCTCCATAGAGCAGCCAGGCTGTCTCTACCTCCATGGGGAATAAGCTGGATCACTCCCTGACTTCTGAACCCCAAGAGAAACTGGTCCATCTGGGTTGGAGACTGCCAAGAAGTGATCACAGTCAATCTGGTTACCCTTGAGAAATGGCAGCCAATAAATGACTTTTAATTAAAGAGGCAGTACCAGAAAGACTAAAATTCATGATTCACAGGATATTAAGCTTGCAGAAATTAAAATGAGGCAAGAGAATAGAAAAGCTGTCAGACTAGGTGAGAAACAAGAGGTGTCAATGGTGTCAGAGCTCACAAAACAAGAATATTAGAAGTGTAGAATGGATTGAATTAGCAGACAGCTGTAAAAGAAAAAGGTGCCAAATAGGATTTTCTCAAATTGAGAACCATAGGATTTTTAAAAGCCACTGATTACAATAGGGACATATTTTCTTTTCCTATCATTAAAAGAGGGGTGTGGGAATAAATACGTTTATGTGGTATTTGTTAAATACCATGTAAAAGGGGGAACAAATCTGTTATATAAAGTGACCTGAGGGACAAAATGTCATAATTTTTCCTTGTACCTATGTAGCTCTATTTTTTCATTGGAAGGCATGAAGATCCCCACCTTTTTTTTGTTGTTGTTGTTGCCCTGGGTATTGAACCCTGGGCCTTATGCATGCTGTGCAAGTGCTCTATCACTGAACTACATCCCTGCCTCCTTAGAGCAGGTACCTAGAATTGTAGTCTTTCTTGCTCTTCTCTGGGCTTGGATTGTAAACTTTCCAAGTTGTAACTAGGTTATAGTGACTACCAACCACCTTGATATCTCACAGCTGTAAATGGAGTGGGTACCTTTCAATTGACTCCAAAGCTTTCAGATTCTAAAGCTTTTCTTTTAAAAAATGTTTCCAAGAAAACACATTGTTGTTTTAATTGTTTACTTTGTTAAACTTAATACAGTAATTATTTGCAAGTGGATTTCTTTGTGGCTTGAACCTTCTGGGCTTATAACTGAACTACAGAACTCTAGTTTTCCTTTATCCAAAAGGGTATCTTTTAGAATTATTATTGTCGTTGCCATTTAGAAGTGTAGTTATCAAAAACCTTATATTAAAATGATGACATCAATTTGGTATGTTTCCTGACACAACTTTTCAAATGAAATTAATGACAATAGCTATAACAGGGGTGGCTAAGTGTCCTGATTTGTTAGGGCCTGGAGAAGATTCTGCAATGTGGGACTTTTATTTTAAAATGAGACAGTCCTAGGCAAACCAGAATTGATCACTTTTTCAATACTAAGTGACACACTTAATTCTCTCCAAATATCTAAGAAGCAGGCATTATTTCCCTGTTCTTCAGGTAAGAGAATAAGACTTAGGTTAAAGCAAGTTTTGCACTAGGTCCAGGTCTGACTCCAAGGCTTATGCCCTGAACATTCCATGGTACAGACTTATGATCCACAGATTTAAGAAACTGTCCCACTATAGTTGTGATTCAGTGGCTGCTCTAAGGATTTTGTACCCTTTGACTCTTTACACAGGCTTAGAAATGCAGAATCATCCAACTACTGAATTTTTGCTCAGATTTTTTTAAACTTAAAAATTGACCAAAATACAATAGAATATTTTCTGTGTATAATCTTAAATAACCATTTGTAAAATCTTGCCAATACTGTTCTAAAGAAAAGTACTTTTGTAGTTTGTAAAGTTTGTATTTCTATTCTGGAAAACTCTTATCCCCCACCAACTTAGGGGGACTCTGCCAGCAATTTAGCTCATTTCAATCATGGCCTCTGTCTATTCCCTGCTCCTGTTTTCAAAGCATTCAAGTAATAATGCCCCAAATGGAAGTCCAATGGAACTGGCCTCACCATCACATCTTTCTTTAGGACACAGCATTGGTGCCTCCTTTTCCTGCACAGCACCTGTGTGATTAACAGGTAGGAGGTAAATGCTAGTCCTGATGCAGCTAGGTCTTCTTCAAAGACCTCAGTGTAAGACAGAAATCTAGACAGTACTGACTAATAGTTTCTGAAGCAAAGAACATGGACAACGGCAGGGTGCTTATTTGTTCATTCATCCATCCATCCACTCAAAGTTAAATTGAGGGCCTCCTATGTCTCAGGATTGATGAGAGGTGCCAGGAACATTAAGAGGAAAATAGTGAAATCCTATTCTTAAAATTAATAAGTCTAAAGCGATAGTTGAAATTTTCCTTGAATGCCCCTCAGATCACTCAAATTATTATCTTAGGCTCTGCTTCTTGGAAACCTGGCCTAAGATGCAAGGGATTGATTGAAACTTGCATGTTAGTGGGGGCAGGAGGTCAGGACAGAGGATCAAGTTCAGCAAGCATGAGAGCTGAGCTGAACAGTTGTAGTTTGGACTTATCTTTCTACTATAAGCAGCTCTGGAACATGAGTGGCTACAGATTTGTAGCTCTATGAAGCAGAAGAGGTAGCACTTTGCAGGGGGGGGTGGGGGGGTACCTGGGATTGAATTTAGGGGCACTTAACCTCTGAACCACATCCCCAGCCCCATGTTGTATTTTATTTAGAGACAAGGTCTCATTGAGTTGCTTAGCATGTTTTACTGAGGCTGGCTTTGAACTCATTATCCTCCTGCCTCAGCCTCCTGAGCTGCTGGGACTATAGGCATGTACCACCATGCCTGGCCAAACTTCCTTCTTCAGTCTCTGCGCCCCCCAAAACCAGGTTTTTTTTTTTTTATCCCCAATAATCAGACACTGGATAGGGCCGGGAATTTGTGTGTAACCTCTTTGGCATTTCTGGGATAGGTGGCTTTAATCATATGATAGTTTCTGGAAAAGTGCTACTGTGAGTAGTTAAGAGCCAAGGATTAGTAGCTGGGAGCCAGAGGCATCAGCTGAATAAATGGAACGTGGAGGGGGCATCACCAGCGACCACTACAAATATACAGGTCTTATTTGACATGATAGAAACCTACCTATAATTTATTAATAAACTCAGAGCTGCTTATTTTGTCCAGTGGTGGAACAGTCCACCATTTCTTTGGATGCCCTATGGATGACATGGTTGGCTTGTGCTTAGGGGCCATGCTGAATGAAAAACAGACATCTAGCAACTCCAGACTCACACCCAGCATGGACAGATACTTGCTCTATAAGAGCTGCTCCACAGGATCTGAGACTGTTTTCCAGGAAGCAGACTGTGATGTATCATTACACAGGATGTTCAGTAGGACCCCAAGGGTCACCACCTGTGGAAGGGGAAGATGAGCCACCGTACAGTCAGACAGAAGCCTCTGTCGGCTCCCATGGGAGCTCTGCAGCTGAATGGCACACCAGACCTGGCCTACCTTAGGCCAAAAGGGTCAAGTCTTTATTTCTTTCCCTTCATCACCACACTGGACCACCTACAGAAGTTCAACCTTGAGTGAGGTGGCTCTCTGAAGCTGAAGTCACTCCTGAAGGGACAACTATAAGCTGTCTGCTGACAGTATTCCCTGGAGCTGGGCAGCAGGTCCTCCCTGGAGGGGGGATGGGCAGCACATAACCTCACGCATCCCTGGGGAGACGTCTTGAAAGGCTCATCTCAAGTCACTCCATGCTTACAGTTGAGTGGAATGGGCATGAAATAACCCCCACTTCTAGTTAGTCATTTTCACCTTGGGAGAAGTGGTGGGTGGGCACATATTGAAAAGCTTATAATTTAATTAATGCTTTAATACTTAAAGTTAATCCTAGGCTTTATCACTGATCTGTTTTTACTTAGACATGGAATAATTCTACTCTGCAAGAGTTTTTCCCCCACCATTTTTATTTAGAAACAGGCAGTATGGTAATATAAGGATTAAATAAAACAATGAATGTACCATAACAACCTTGTGAGGTAGATAATATTATTCCCCACTTTACAGGTGAGGAAATATAAGATTAGCAACGTTTTAAAAAATAATTGCCCATTGTGAATGATATAGACTGTATTTGAACCAAAGTCTGACTCCAGAGCTCAAAAACTTAAGCACCCTATTAAAGCCAACTGAGAACTTTTATCTTTTGATGGACGTTAGCAAATTCATTTGCTCAATAATGAGTATGTCTGTTGCCAGGTTCTCACTAGGCGAGAACCTGGCATTGGAAATTCAGAGAAACCTCTGAAAATAAGTGTATGCATATATAGAAACATGATACCCCATTTATGTACAATTGTTATATTTTCATGTACTAAATAAATTTAACTTAAAATACCACTGAGTAGGAACTTACATGTGTTCCTGTAGGTCATTCTTCTGACCTGTGTGTTTGTAACAATTATCAGAAATAAATGTCAATGTGAGGATTTTTTGATCTCTCTTAGTAACTCAATTCACTGTTTCAAACTTTTTTTTTTTTTAAACAGGCTAAAAGAGATACCAAGAGGATGTCTGCAAAAGAAGTCACCATTAACGTTACAGACAGCATCCGACAGATGGACAGAAGTAAAAGAATCACAAAGAACTGTGTCAATTAGCAGAATGTCCTCTGAGTAGAAGAGCCGAGGGACTTCTGAAGTGCCCTTCATGGTACTGGATCTCATCAAGCAACCTTGAAGAAGGGAGCCCCATTTGCTGTATGTGGACATTGCTGAAAGAGATGGTTTTACCCGGCTGCAAAAAACAACAACAACAAAAAAACTACCTGAGCTGTTGGGACTTTCTCAGCCTCCTGTTTGTCACATAAAGTGATTGTATTGAACAGCCCTTGAATCTTTTAATAAGTTGCCAAATATATGGTTAGGTTTGGCTCTTTGCACTCCCTGTAATAGGCTCTGGTGTAGAAGTGGAAAGACAAAGCCACAGGTTGGTTTATCCAACAGTTCAGTAGGAGGAATGGATTTCCTGGGTGAGAGATTTACATACCAGTGCCAAGCTCTCTTGGCTTTGGCAGTGAACAGTTTCAGGCAAGTTTTTTTGTTTTTATTTTAAATAGTGTCATAATAAAACATACTGTTTTCACTTAAAAGCTGGCTTTCACCCAGCTCCCAACCCAAATATATCAGAACCTGAGAAACAGGAAAACTCTGTTATTCTTGTTTCCTTAGCTCAGATTAGATCCAGTTTCATAGACACTAACTCCCCTGGAGTATCTTTGGAAGGTCTCTGACATGGTCAGACGTGTTTTCATTGGCCTGAAAGGTCCTAAGCTGGTGTCCATATGTTGGCCTCTGAACTGTAAATGACATGATCCTTGTGACCTATGCATCCAACTTGGGACACCTCCCCCACAAGGACTCAGCCCAACATTGCATTTTTTTCTTAGCTTTCTGGTTCCCTTTCCTTCTCGAAGATTTTTTTTTTCCCCTCTCCATTTGGGTCATTTGCAATTTTAATCAAAGACTGGACACTGCTCACAGGAGGGAGGTCACCCAGGAACATGCGGCGGCACACATGGCTTCCCTTTGGCCTCTCTGTGCACAGCCCCAGGACTCGATCATCTTGGTATCTGCAAAGTAATTACTTTAGAAAACCAGTACCTGGTTGATGTGTATTCACATTGACATTAGACGGATAAGCACTGTGTTAGAATAGGAAACTAACACAGTGAAATGAGATTTTGATAGGAATAATTTTCTAGCACTTTTTAAAAATATGTTCAGCTTGACATTTTCCTTTGAAATAATGTAGCATGATTTTTAAAGGATTATTGACATGACTAAGATTGGAAAAGGTAGGGTTAAAGTTGTACCAAACTATACCAATAAACCACATTTAGCAGAAATAGGCAGCCTGATGGTGTGTTTATGTAACATAGTTCAGAAAACTAACATAAGCAGGCTAAAATTCAGATTCTCAACCACTCATCTGCTATTAGTACTCAAACACAAGTAGCTTTATTTGTTCATCATTTCATTTACAGAAGACACATTTAGTAATTGAACATTAAATGCCAAACCTGTGCCAGCTAGTATGCAGATGTTGAGGGATTTGCTGTTCAGCCAATTACAACTGCACATGCTGAATCCAATAGCAAACTTAATTAGGAGACTGACTTTAGGGTCTAAGGTATATTGTATGCTGTGAGTGGCTCTGCAGTGGAATCTCGCTTTTATGCCAAGGGTAGATTTATGTCAAACTACCCGATCACTGTATAAGCCTTTACCATATACAAAAATCACACTTTCTAAACCTTTGTCATTTTGATTCCTTGTTAAAGGGCTTTTTGGGAACTTTATGTTCTGAAATTTTTACAAACAAGTAAAATGTGTGACTTCTATGTGTGCAGTGGCATCACTCAACAGGCACCCCCAACTGTGAGGTTGGCAATAGTCTCATAAATTCAAGGGCTTGTCCCTCCAGGGTATGTGTGCTGTCTAGTTACTGTACTATGGGCTATGGCTAAGCCCAGCTTCTCTTTATAACCTTATTCCTCTCAGTTCACTGGGTCTTCTGTGAGTATAGGTATCTGTGTATAGAAATGCTTTCTCACTTCTGGGGGAGAAGGGCATAGAGAGCATGTGATCTGGTCCTCCGCCGAACAATCTGGATTCCACTGGGGTGGTGGCCAGAAGCTAAACCATGGCACTGAAAATTCATCTTTTTTCATGTGTGTTTAAGACAGGAGCTGATTCTTACTATCTATCCTACTGGGTTAATACTTTCCATTGCAGAGTTTGTGCCAATAAAGTCCTTAATTTCAAATATATAGATGGTTAAAGAATTTTTACTGGAGCCTTAAAAAATTTTTTAATAATTCTTCACTAAATTTAAGTTTCAACAAAGGCCTTTTTACAGGCAGAGTTGAGTTAGCACACTCCCGTAATCCTGGCAACTCAGGAATCTGAGGCGGGAGGACCCTGAGTTCAAGGCCTGCCTCAGCAATTTAGAGACTCTGACTCAATAAAATGTAAAAAGGGATGGGGATGTAGTTCAGTGATAGAATGCCCCAGAGTTCAACCCCTAGGACCAAAACAAACAAAACCCCAAATCTTTTACATAAGTGACCCATATGAATCTTAAAAAACACCCTTGTTAGGTGAGAATGCTCTTAGCTACAATTTACACTAAGAAAGTATTTATAGTCTGCTCAGCCAGTAGACAATAATGCAAAAATCAGTGCTTTCCACCATAACCTGATGCCTCTCAGAGAAACAAGGTCAGCCTGGCTGGGAGACTCAGCACTTAGAGGGAATTCTCACTGAGCCCGAGACTGGGCCAAGCCATAACAGGGTGACTTAGGCTATTGGAGAGGTCTGGTGAGCTCTTGACTGGAAAGTTTGGCTCTGGTTATCCCTCCAGAAAGGGTGACCCTGACCCGGTATAAGAAGGTACCTTTGGCAAAGTGACTTTAGAATTCAAAGGAGGTGGAAATTGTACCCCTTAGAACAATTGCCTAGACTTAAGGGGAGGGAAGCAGGGTCTTCCCAGGCTGCTGTCAATCCCCTAGGGGGTGGGGGAGGCTGTACCTCCTCACTCTTTCTGCAATGCCCATCTTTACAGTGCTCCCCACCCTCCAAGCTGACCACACATATTCCTGTTTGCATTCACCATCTAAACCTTGCTAACCTTCATCTGTTTGACCCTCATCAGTCCACACTTGCTGGTTGTACCACATGTCACAGAAATGCACACCATTCACATTTGTTCCTCTAAGCAGGGTTCCCAGCTCCCACTGCTGGCAACTCCTCTGCTGAGACCAGATGATGGACATGCTATATTTGACATGTTCTGCTTCTCAGTAAAAACTTAAGAATTTCACATAAATAGCCAGCTCTGGCAGAGACTCCCGATTTAGAATTCTGATCCGCATTCTCCCCTTCTTCCTTAAATAGGCCCAGCTACTTCACTTTGAAGAAGATTATATTTGCCAGTTTCCAAATGAAATGATGAAAGTGAGGAATGGAAGCTCTCAGGAATTCTTATAGAAGAATACCGGGGCTTTCCTTTCTCTTTTGCTTCCTGCTACCTAGAATGAGTCAGTAATGGCTGGAGTCACATCTGCCCATTAGGCCTGCAAATGATTTAAAGAATGAAAGCCATGCCACACCAAGCAACAAGTCCCATGAGCCCTGGATACCCTTAAGCCTGTGTGTGTGTTAGAAAAAGACATTTTTACTTCACCTAAGCTGCTGCAAGTCACTATTCACGCCAAACCCAATTCTAGTTGGTACACAAACTTTTTAAAAATAAAATAAAAAAGATCAATGACAGCAGAATGCATTACAATTCTTATTACACATATACAGCACAATTTTTCATATCTGGTTGTATATAAAGTATGTTGACCAATTTGTCTCTTCATACAGGTACTTTGGATAATAATGTCTATCACATTCCACCATTCTTGTTAACCCCCTCCCCTCTTCCCTTACCCTCCCACCCCTCTGCCCTATCTACAGTTTGTCTATTCCTCCCATGCTCCCCCCTTCCTACCTTACTATGAATCAACCTCCTTATAACAAAGGAAGCATCTGACATTTGTTTTTTGAGGATTGGCTAACTTCATTTAGTGTTATCTTCTCTAACTCCACCCATTTACCTGCAAATGCCTTGATTTTATTCTTTTTAAATTTTTTTTGTTGATGATGGACCTTTATTTTATTTATTTATATGTGGTGGTGCTGAGAATCGAACCCAGGTCCTCACACATGCTAAACAAGTGCTCTACCACCAAGCCACAACCCCAGCCTTTCTTTTGAAAACTTGGGAAGATCTTTCCCTCTTGTACTGTCAATGCCACTTGGCCACAGTTGGCTGGAGCTGCTAACTCTGCATGGGCCAGAGCTGGGGTCTCTGGATTGTGATGATACTGACCACTCACTGTGGCTTGCACATGATAATCTCTATTTCTTGTCACTTGCCAGAGACATTCGAGTTTGCAAACTCTGCTCCAAATTATATTCCCAAATGTCTGGTTTTCTTGTTCTTTTCAGGAATTACTGAAATACAGAAGATCTTCTTACCCTGTCTTGCCAGTCTGAGAAGTAGTCAATCTCAGGAAAATTTTCTGAGTAGGCTAATTACAAGTATGACCTAATTTTTAAAATTAAGCATTTATTCACTCTTTTATTACTCTATTGAGAAGCTTCAATGTGCCAGAAGTTGAGATAAAACAGACTTGGTCCCTGTCATCATAGAGCTGATGTTTAAATAGAAGAAATAGACAATAAAAACAAAGAATGATCCCAACAACTTCAGATGATTTAAGATAATACTGAAATGAGTATATACAGAAGGAGAGGAAGTAAATAACCTTTTTGCTTTACTTCATAGCAAAATTTCTCAAAAGAGGACAGTAGTTAGAAAAAGATGAAGGGTCAAGGAGACTTTTTTGTTTTGTTTTTAATGTGGGGACAGACTAGAGTCTTTTCTCATCTGTTGCAACGATTCTATAGAGGGTAAGGTTGATGCTGAAAGGGCCAGGTCATTGTTCACGGAGTTAATTATCTTTGAGAAGGTGAGAAGAGAATAGATAGGTAACTACATTAAAATTAAAAAAAAAAAACTTCTCTGGCAAAAATGTACATAAATCATGTTTAAAGACAAAGTTATATATTGGATACACATTTTTTAAGATGAGAAGAACCACCACCAAAAGTAAAAAAGATAAACAGGCAGAAAGAAACAAACTGATAAGAACAGATACTACACTTGACACTAGTATGGCAGTATGTAAAAAAGTGGATGTGGAACCGATGTGAATCTGTAATATGTATACGGGGTACAAATGGGAGTTCATAATCTGCTTGAATCAAATGTATGAAATATGTCAAGAGCTTTGTAATGTTTTGAACAACTAATAATAAGAAAAATAAAAAATAAAATAAAGAAAAAAAAAGAAACTTAAGTGTCCAATTATACACCAGAAGATCTTCAGTCTCATCAATTAAGCAAATTGAAACCAAGATGCTGCTACCTTTTCACCTGATTAGCAAAATTTTTTAAAATTGATAATATGCACATTGCAAAGGGTATGAGAAAGAATCTCAAACATCGCTCGTTCAAAGAAATCTGTGATACCATTTAGGATGTCATAGGTGACCCTCCTAGAGTCCCCAACAGGGCCTGAGAATTAAATTGACATCAGACAGATAAATAAGAGAAAAGCACACAGATATATTTGATACAAGTTTTATATGACACAGGAGTCCTCATGAAGAAATGAGCCACAGGGTGGTGAAAAAAGTGCTTTTATAGGAGGCCAACCAAAGAAATGCAATGGTGGAAAGTAGCCAAAATATATGGGAAGACCAAAGGAAGAGTAATTTTAGCAAAATTTTTTTGTACAAAACTCTCTCAGCCTCAAGTCCCTGTCTCTGCTGATAAGCATGTTCCATTCATCCTAGTACGGAGGACATCTTTTATAAGTGAGAATTATCCCTTGCTTACAGAAAGAAAAGGAAAGACTTGAACATTCTTTTTGGACCTGCTGTTGCATTGTTGTTTTTAAATAAGTGCCTTTAGCTCAAAATCATACTTAGAGCCAAAGTGTCATTTTATGGTTCTGCCACTCTGAATGGCAGTTTGACCAATTTATTCAAATTTTAGATGTACATATTCTTTGGCCAAAACATTTCCATTTTCAAGCAAGGCATCTCTTATGGACTGAATCATATCCCAACAACCCCCTCCCATTCATACCCCCAGAATGACTATTTGGGGACAGGGTCTGTAAAGAGGTAATTAAGATAAAATGAAGTCATTTGAGTAGGCCCTAATCTAATTGGTAACCTTCTACAAAGGAGAAATTAGGACATAGACACAGAGGGAAGACGCTGGGAGACATCAGAGGAAGATGGTCATTTACAAGCCAAGGAGAGAAGCCTCAGGGAAAAAAAAAAAAAAAACTGACCTTGATCTCAGATTTCAAGACTCCAGATTGTGGTAAAGTCAAGTCTGTTGGCTAGGCCAGTCTGTGGTGCTTTGTTATGGCAGCCCTAGAGAATGAATACAATGCCCCCAGAAAAATACCCACATGTTTTTATAACCGAGTATGTGTGGACCAGTCCTCGGTCTTTTGTAACTTTTTCCAAAGAATGGAACAACAGGATAGAAGAACACAGTTCTGCAGCAAACCTCCCCCCCCCACCATTCCCTTCCCCTCAACTCCTTTAGCACACCCCTGGGGACTTCCAGCGAAGCCACCTGCTCTCCTTGGCCTGTGGGCTTCTCCTATCACATCCGCGAAGGAGCTGCCAGGGCACTGGTGTTATTGGTGCTTCCTTCCCTATCCCAGCATGCCCCAGTCAGTGACTGATGGGAGCTCCCTTGACCTTGGGTGGGGTGATGCTGTGTTTTAAACTAGCTCCTAGGGCGTTCCCAGCTGTACTAAGCTCCAGTTACCCAGCAGGTAGCTGGCTGAAGAACATTCTCCTTTATTGAATATTTCTCTCATTAATCTCCAGGGTAGATGCATTGCTGTGGTTGCAGGCATTGATGTGAACAGCATCCTCTCCTCTTTGTTAGAAAAAAATATTAGACCATGATACTAAGACCTGGTTTCTGCCAGTAGATAATCCTCCTTCCTAGCAGGGAATCTATATCCTGCTGCCATGGATCTATAAATGTTCTTTTTATATATGTTGTACAATAATAGGCTTTAAAATAAAAATAGATAAATGGTCTGTTTTGCTTCAAAAGTAACCTCTGACATATCCTAGGTGTAAAAAGTAACTTGGAAAGGAGCCCCCAAAAGGCACCTTAGCA